TCTTTCCGCAGGACCCTGCCACACTGCAAAGCTCTTTGCCCCTCCATCTTGCCTGATCTGCAGTCTGGAAGGGCAACTGCTCCAGGGACAAGCTGAATCCCTCTGGTCCCACACTCATAGCTGCTAACTCCTGACTGCTCTGAGCCTTTCTTCCACACTTGCAACAGCTCCCAGACTGTACCCAAGCTCTTGTACTCTCCTTACATAGAAGGCTGAAAAATGTGGTATTAATTCACTCAGGCAGAACTCCATTTATCCAAGCACCTGCCTGGTGAGAGCTGCCTCCCTCCTAGTCCCTTGGCAGGGCAGATCTTGCCCGACTCAGCTGTCCCCAGGCAGATGTATTGCTCCCTTTACGGCACAGTGGAGGTGAGGAAGTTGTGCAGTGGGTGGAGCACGGAGGCACAAGGACTTACGTTCAGTCTCTGGTATGGAGCTGGTGATGGAGGAGCTGGTGGAAGTGATTGTGCTCATGGATGGACTCATACCGTACGCTGGGTAGGTGCCGGTCATCGCTGCTGTGTGAGACACCCAGGCTGCCGGGTCAATGGGCCGAATGGGCTCACCTGCATTGAAGAAAGAGTCAGTCAGCAGCTATAAGAAATTATCCCCTTATCAAATCAGCCTCTGGGGAGGGACAGGGACTCAGCACAGCCCATTCCATTCCCAGCATCTGCCGGGACTCACCCGGATCGGAGCATGGAGAGTCTGGCCCAGCCCAGATCCGCTGGGGAGCAACTGGGAGAGAAAGAAGAGAGGGAGGGTCAGCAGGACAGGTGCAGAGGGAGAGATCCCCCTATGGCTCAAGGCAGGGGTTTCTCTTTCCTCTGGCGCCCCGAGCAAGTGACCCCCCCGCCCCAGTGAAACGCGTCCCCAGCGTGATGTGGGAAGGAGGGCTGGGCTTATGGGCATTTTGGCCTGAGAATAGGACACAGCAGCCTCCTAATAGGAGAGCTGAAAACCCACCAAACCCCAATTCAGTGCCACATGGAGTCACACACAAGGGGAGGAACAAGACAACCAATTAAGTGCTTAAAGCAGGGCTCTCACATGAGCTGGGCACCAGTGTTAAGGGTGGGTCAGCTATCCACTTACTCCTGGGTAACGAGAAGCAGCCCCGGGGGCTGGGGTCCCAGCACTTGGCCACCGTCAGGGTGATGGGCCTGCAACAAAAAGGCAAGAGTTAGAAAAAGAGCCCAGTGGCACAAATCTCTGCGTGACCGGTGGATGCTGTATACTGGCTCTCTCCTGCAAGACAGGGAGAAGCTGCCAGTAAAGTGCCCTTGTCCCCCTCCAGCTCTGGATCTCCTTAGCAGCATGGACAAAATGATGCAACCCTACTGAGGGTTGCTGATGTCCCTAGTGACACGGTAACCCCACAAAAAAGAGGGGCACAGACCCCAATTCACCATCATTCCGTTGGCTGCAATTCTTGCTCTGGGCATGAAAATCCAGGAAGCAAAACAATACCAAAAATATTAAGTTCTGAGCTTCTGCAGAGCCACTGGCAGAGGTGACTGGAAGACATGACTCACACACGCCAAGCGCACACTGTACAGCTGCCCATGGAAGTAAGAAGCAACCTAAGTACTTACCCCGGCTTGTGCACAATCTCCCTCAGCACCCGCACAGCATCATCGTTGCTCATGTTCTCAAAGTTGATGTCATTTACCTGCAAACAACGCAAAGAGGTGAGTCCCTGAAATGTGATCAGAGGCTGAGCTCCCCACTCAGCTCAGCTGTGACTCAGCTTCCCTCTTCCAAGCACAGCTTCCTGGGTTTAGCCTGCCAAAGTGCGCAGGGAGGCTTCTGGGTCTTTTCTTACTGTTTTCCCAGGCCCAGAGACGGTATTGTGGGTGTAAAGTACCTGCAAGAGCATGTCTCCTGGCTCAATCCTGCCATCAGCAGCCACAGCACCACCCTTCATGATAGAGCCAATATAAATGCCTCCATCCCCATGCACATTGCTCTGTCCCACAATAGAAATGCCCAGGAAGTTGTATTTCTCTGCAGGGATGGAAAGAGAGAGAAGTAAGACACCATCAAGCAGAAGGCACAGGACAACCCACATGCTAATGGTGGTCATTTGCGCCCTTGTCCCAGGGAAATGTCCTGGGACACAGAGAAACTCTTGAGAGAACAGTGCTTCAAGACAAGCCACTTTCCTACAGAATCCATCTTCTCACCCCTCCCTGCATGCGTTCTCTTTGCCCCATCCCGGCTTCCCTCTTTGTCACCCAGTCTCACTCTGGAATGATTGCAGGCTCCACGCACACCTCCCACTCACCCATGTTCAGTGTGACTGTGATGATGTTCAGTGACATGGTGGAGTCTGTGATGCTGCTGAAGGACGATGACTGCAAAACATAAGTGAAACACGAGATGACCTCCTGTGCCTCAGTAACATTCTCAGTGCCCCAGCTCCCTCTACTTTGCGCCCTGACACTCCCTGTGGCACCACAGCCGTCACCCACAATTCCAGCCTTATGCTGGGAACTTTGCAGAGCCAGAGGGCATCAGCCACTGTCCTTATGACCTCCGCATAGGCAGGACAAGACTTGTGGTCCCCGATTTCAAGGCTACATTGGCTTGGGAAAGGTTTACAGCACTTTATCAAGTCTCAGCACTCTGGCACCACATGTCCCCAGCTGTGCCCACAGCAAACACAACAGAATCCCTAACCAACCCTGGAGCACTGAGTGGAGAAGATGCACCAGCCAGCCCACCTTGCCCTGCACTGCCCTCCCCAGGATACCCAGCCCCTCAGTACCCGCTCAATGCGTGGAGCCTTCTGTTTCCGCCGGCGTCGCTTGTGTCTCCTCATTAGACGGGAAGCACTGCTTTGCTCTGTTGAACTGCTAAACCTAGAAGGAAAAGCAAGAGTCAGATCTGCTGCTGCCAGGGTGGCAGCTCTGGCAGCAAGAGAGCCACAGAAATGGCACAAGGAATAGAGGACTGCAGGGGTAGAACATGTCTGTGGAGGACAGACAATAGCAGAGGGCGCTGCTGGGTGAGACTTGAGCAAGGACCCTGGAGCCCAGGATTACTGTGCTTTACAAAGACATCACTCTGTGCTGGAAGGCATGGGGAAGCTAGTGTTCCTCCAGGACCCAAGCTCTCCTACCTGCTGGTGGAGTCATCTTCATCTGAATCAAAGAAGCTGGTGGTCTCCAGCTCACTGCTCATGAGTGTGGAGGAGCTCTCATAGCCGCCCAGGTCTCGGCGCCGCTCTCCCTTTACTGTCCCATTTACCCTGGGTGCTATGAAAAGACAAGACACTGTGTGCTTGAGACAGGCCACAGGTAAACCCCTTCCCCTACACAAGGCTCACAGCAACCTTCTCAACATGAATGTGTCCATCAGAAAATCCCATCTAGTGCCAGCCAGATCTGAGACCTCTGAGTCTACCCTGGGATCAGATCCATCTTCTGTAGGTTACCTCTTCTATCACTACAGCATGGGCAAGGGGCTGATGGGCCACTTAGGAACAATGCTGCTAAACTCATGGAAGACTTGCATCTGGTTCCTTAGCAGAGCAAGTTGCAGCATGGAGTGGCAAGGCTACAGCACACTCTGCTTTTCAGCCAAGGACTGAGGCACTGCTGCCTCCTGCTCTCAAGGCTTCTACAGGACATATCTCCTCTGCCCCCAAGGGATTCAACACCAAGCTCTGACACAACATATATGTTAGCTTCTGACTCCAATGTGAGGCTATGGCCTCAGATCACTGAACAGCCTTTCTAAGCTGGGATGGTTCTGCAGAGCAGAGAGCACTGCCCTATGGCTGGAGCCATGACCCAGCCATGCCCTGCAGAGCTCTTGCTGTGTTACTAACACTCACCATGCTCAGGCCCTTCGGTCCGACGAGGTCGTTCCCTTTGGGATGACACCACTGAGTCTGTCTCTGTCTCATTGTCCAAGTTTTCTCGACTCCCCCCAGTGTTAGGGCTGCAATGAGATAAAAGGAACAAATATGTCCAGTAGAAAAAACTTAAGGCTCTCTACCTCTGTGCTGGCCAGCACAAGCCTCCAGCCATCAGCCAACTGCTTCTTGAGGGACAGGAGTAGAAGTGGTTGGGAACAACCACAGCACATCTGTGAGTGCAGGGCAAGGGATGGGAGGAAGCTGTGCCAGCTTTTTGCCAACTTCCCTGCACTATATTCAGTATGCCTTTGCTTGTTCAATAACAAAACTCCACTTCAAATCTGCTCCCAGCCCCATCCTCCTCCCCTCTAGCTGCCAATTTGGGTAGGAGTGTCCCAGACTCTGGTCTGGATTTACAGCAGTCACTTTGAGTCCCTCAGAAACCAGGATAGATGTCCAGGTAACTTACTGGAAAGAGGGAGGCCTGGAGTCTCCAATTCCTCCTGTGCGCTCCATGGAGGGTGGCAGCTCTGTCTGGTTATCGGCACAGACCGAGCCAGCATCTGAATGGGAACCCTCTGCAGACACCAGCTGGAAGGATGAGAGACAGAGAATGAAATGGCTGAGGCACTGGGAAACCTTTTATGAGAGTGGCCAAACGAGCTGGCCAAAAGCCTGCCTGGCCCAAGACCTCCTCTCTGACAGCAGACAACAGCAGATGCCCAGGAGTGGGTATGGAACAGGCCAAGCATGTAGCAACATTCTCCCACAATGCCTTCCCAACTGGCTATTTATGGCTCAGGAATCCCTGACCCAGAGGTGAATCCAGGTGGCTGACAGCCCTGCTTGGAGACTCTGACATCATCTGCACACTCATACCACCCAATTATCCCACTCAGGTAACCTTTAGCACTTGTCCTGTAGGAAGCAATGGATTTCTCTAGTTGTTCTTCCATCAAAAGAGGCATCTACCAGTCATTCCTTTTCTCGATTTTACCAGCTCAGGACTAAGACTGGCGTTGAAATAGACTCCAACGTTTTCCAGCTTCCACACATACTTCACAAACGTTCAGGTTGTGCCCAGTTAATTGTCTTGGGCACAAACTCCAGCCAACCTTTGTGAGACTCAACAGTCTCCCCAGTGCAGAAATTCAAGGGTCAAACTCCAGGAACTCTTTATACCAGCCATGCATTGGGACAGCCCAGGCACACCTACATCTGTGCCTCTAGATCCAAGATAAACCACCAATTTCAGGGCTCAAGGAATGAGGTGGAGCCTCTTCTGGGAAGAATGGGCTCACCACTGGAATGAAATAGAGGATAGCTCAAAGGAGCTCCCTATCCAGGTTTGCTTTCTTCCCACTTCCAACATGTTTTTCACATCTGCCCCATGCCTGTCCCCTGCACAGCATGGACAAGCAGGAGGGTTGATTCTCTCCCAGTGTCAGAGAGGGATCACATGGCCCAGTGCCCCACACAAAAGAGGCTGTGGGTCAGCCTGGAGCCAGTCCAGGGAGGTGAGGACACCAGGACAGAGGTGAAGTCTCAGCCTGTGCACCTGAACCATCTGCCAAGCCATCAGCCATCACAGGAGAGGTCAAATCTATCAGAGATGAGGGATGCCCCACTGTGGGTCAGGATAGAAGGATCATGAAACACAGACTGGTTTGCTGCACAAACTGTAACACCCAGTACTAATGCAAAGGCAGCTCTACTGCTTACTGGTGAGGTGACCACATCTGCATGGAGACAGGAGCGGATGGCAAAAACCATTTACACAGGTCTTAGGTGCTTCCCAGCATCATTGGGATGAACCCACCTTCAAGAACTGGGGAAACCATGACAAAGAGGGGGGTGTGTGTACCTCACAGGCCATCAGTAGGGCAGGGGGAGAGAGGTCTGCTGCCAGGGAGGCACTGGGAACAGAGACAGAGATGCAGCTAGGGCAAGGAAGACAGAGCAGCACTGAAAAACCCACAGCTAAGGCAGCAGACAGGGCAGAGGGTACCCTGGGGTGTCAAAAGCTGCAGAGCCTGTCCTGCAAGCCCCAGGACAAGCCCAACAGCTCCTGCTCTTACAACTGTCTAACCAGCTCCTGTCTCACACTCGCTGGGCTTCTCTCCCTCCAGAAAGCCCCAGGCACATGTCCAGCTCTGCTTCCAACACCTTCCTGGTGACTTATCTTCCCAGGACACATCCCACTCCCCGAGGGCCACATCCCTGCTCTGGCAGCCACTGCCTGGGAACACAGGGAGAAGAAATGCTGGACATAGCCAGAACTGTTCAGGGAAATGTCATATAATGCTCTATGCTTAAAGATTTCAAGGCAAAACCATGCAAATAGGTGTGGACAGAGCAAACTAGCCACAGGCAGCTGTCAAACAGCAGTGAGGAGGAAAGGAGAGGGAGGTTCTTGAGCAGGGGGACTGATGCTGCCTTCCTCTAACATTCCTGGGGCTGAGATTTCCCCCAGGGAAGGCTTTGATAAGCACCCTGCTCTTTTCCTGCCTCTTGCACTGTCAGGAAATAGTCATTTGCATCCAAGCTCATCTCTGCCTGTAGCTAAAATTAGTACCAAGTTCCTAAAATAGCCTCATCCCAGCCTGTCTGGTAGAAGCAACAAAGCGAGTGTCCCCCCTTACCCCTCAGCCCTCAAACCACCCATGGACAAGGAGACTATCAGCAGAGATAGAAAAAGGGATCATCAGCTGTGCATAAAGGTCTCCGAGACTGCTGTCACCCTTCATGCACAAGAGCCAGTATTGGTCAGTGTTAACTACAGGCATAAGCTCCCCACAAGGAGCTGGCACGCCAGAGCAGCAGCAATGTACTTTGGTCACACCAGACAGAGCTGCACCGGACCTGTGCCACTCACACTGAGCCATCAGAGAGCCGCTACAAGGAAAACCAGCAGCTACATGGATGTGTGGACCATAAGGAAAAGCACAACAGGTGAAAAAAGAGCAATGGAAAGGGTTCAGGGACTTTAGGACTCCCCATAAAGCAGGTGGGGAAAAAAAGGCAGCTGGAAAGGGAAAGGTGGGGAGATGTGTCAGGGCAGATAGAACAGCAGCAGGGACGGAGACTGTTTTCAGAAGGGCCCGATAACCGCTAGAGGGAGGGCGGCGGGCGCCCACTCGCTGGGGCTATGGCTCTTTGTGTGGAGCCGGGGGTACTCTCTCCTCCCAGGCACCCGGGCAGGACACCACACTGCGTGCTGCCAGTACCCCAGAGGGAGCCTCAGCGGTAGCAGGGCACCCACCCACTTGGTCCCATCACCCCTGCCCCCCTCCTGAAACACAGTCGCTTCATGGCCCCCCAGCTGGGGCCTAGCTGTTTGATGCAAGGCTCAAGAAGCGTTAGGTCTGATCCAGCCTGATTTGCTGAGGATTTTCACTGTTTAGGGGGTATTTGGTGGCCTCTTGGTTCTTCTCCTGGTATAGATCCATGCTTCCCCATCAGCACAAACTGCAGCTCAGCAGAAGGGGAAAAGGGATAATGGACTATGAAGACTGAATACCCTCTCCTCCCACAAACAGAAGGTCCCCTTGAGGGCAGAGGGAGGCATGCGAGCAGGGGACAGAGCATGTGCATGGAATGGCACAGAGGAAGAAGCTTGTCCTGAAGCTGCCCAGGCAGTACCTTTAGTCTTCAAGGCAGTCAAATCCAGTCCGCTTCACCAGCACTAAAGTCACTTAAGCCCTTTGCGCCAGTCACCGCAGCAGAACTTTTCTTGGAAAGCTGACCCTGCCATAGGGGCACATGGGTTATGCTGCAGACAGGCCGGGAGCACCGCCTCTGCCAGCCATTGGTTACCGCGAGCTCTCCACAGAGGCATCCAGCATCTCTCCTGGCACAGAGGACCCAACATCATGCAGCCCCTCTCCAGATGAGGGACTGGAGCGTGGTAATCCAGCTCATCAGCTTCATTAGCACTCAGCACACCAACAGTATGCACCAGTCCCTGTGCCTCACTTGGCACTGTGCAACTAAACAGTGGTTTTCAGAGAGGGCAGAAACAGGCAGTGAGATACTAAAGCAAGGGGCTTGCTTACCCATGACACCACCCGGCCGTTGAAGCATGGAAGCTTGGCATTGTCATCAGAGATCTCTTCTTTCACCACCCTGTAGAGGAGAGAAGAGGCAGTCAGAGCTGGGTCTAGGACTTGAAAAGAAAAGGAGACTTTCCCACACAGGTGTTTGCACCCAACAACAGGCAGCCCAGGCTTGGAGACTGGGT